TCATGTCGGAACAGTTGAAATCAAAAAATTTTCACCCAGAAACGTCTTTTCTTTTTTTTAAAGTATATTTTTTTGGGTTTTTTTGTGCCTTTATTGGACAGGAGAGTAGAGAGAGAGACAGGAGCTGGGGAGGCAGAGAGAGGGGGAATGACATGCAGTAAAGGGCCGTCCGATGCGGGACTCGAACCGGGGCCAACTGCAGCGAGGACTGTAGCCCCTACACATGGGGCGCCAGCTTAGACCACTACGCCACACAACGCCCCGGAAATGTCTTTTCTAAAGAGATTTAGATCTACTACTGAAGGAAAAGTTGTGGAACTGGACTTATTCTTGCTGATAGTTGGATAAGAACACCAGTCTCATATCTGTCCATTATGAAGTCACAGCCTATAGCTGGTTGTCTTAGCTTAGCATAAAGACTGGAAATGCAGGGAAACAGTTAGCCTGACAAAGGTATAACAAAATTAAAAAAAAAAAAAAACTCACCTAGCTTGGCAATCTCACAGTGATAACAAGACTAAGAAGTCACTGCACCCAGCGAAGACATAGTGTGGCTCATGACAAGAAGAAAGCAAATGAGTATATTTTCCAAAATGTTGGGTTATTTCCTTAAATTGTTCAAAGTATTCTATTAAGAGTTAAGGGAGACAAATGTCAGTTTGAAAAGCTGGTGGATTGAGCCAAAGTGGTTGAAGAACTAAAGAACCTTCTCTTATCTATAAAACACACACTCATCTTTTCCAGCCTTTGCAGAAACAAGTGGGTAACGACAGCGGTATCTACATCACATTTATATAACATGCTGGCGTCCCTCCAGGCGGCAGCCGGTAACCACTGTATAGTCAGACTAAAATATTTTGACATCACTTTATTTGATTCATAATTTTAACACCTGTCTTTGTTTTTTAGGATTCTTACAAAATACAAAAGAATCACTGCAGCTGACACACACACGCCTTCTGACTGTCAGCATTTGAAAGTGATAGTTACATGTATTACATGAGCGACTTTTTCAATTGCATTAGAATGTACCGTGGTTTCTTTTTCCGGTCACTCAGCTTGTATTTCTTGAGAAAACCTATTTTCTGAATGCAAGTTCTAGATAATGAACTGGCTTCAGTAAAACTTGGGACTCTCTTTGTCTCGCTGTCTTAAGACCTCTCTCTGTGATTCGAGCAAAGTGCACTCAAAGTTTTTTAGAGTAGCAGCTTTGTTTGCCCTCAACCTCCTGCCTTTAGTAGAAGTGAAAGGTATAGTAACAGTGCACTTCAAATACTCTTGACCCCTGATGTCCCCACTGAAGTGGTTCAACGTGGACCTCTAATTGCTTCTCACCAACAATGACAGCGTTTCTTTGGCTGAGAGGGTTTGTTTATTATAGTAAAGTCTAAGTTATTTCCGTGCTCTTTGACTCTCACAGCCTGCATTCAGGCTAGTTCTCAGTCCTGCAATACTTGTGCTCTGTGGTTATAAATGGAGTAACTTGACAATAAGTATTTATTTTCGCAATTACCTTAACAGCATTGTGTGCATCTATATCCTTATTTGTGCGTGTACTTCGCCTCCATTTTTGTGCCCCCCTTTCATGTCCATATAGATCTCTATTTGTGGGTGAGCCCATACATGCATATTTGTACACTCGACATAAACTCAAACATGGCTGCATGAGCGCTATGACTGTGATTGCTTTTTAGTTTGTGCGTGTTCATGTTTGTTCGAATAAAGAGGAGCATTTGAAGAGGAGCCATCCAGCTTTAGAAGCCAGATGTCATAGGTCGTTCCACATTAGTGCCGCCGATCAATCGCAGGCCTTGCGTAACTCTCCTGCCTCTTTGTCCCTAAAGGAAGTGGATTAGAGGCTGTTTTCTGAGTTGGGACCTGGGATGATTAGTTAGGCCTGTTTAGAATGCATGCACTCACAGATGCATACAAACATGCACTCAAAACAGACGGGCTGGATGGGATAATAGATGGTTTGTTTTTAAGACGCTCGTTATTTCGGTTTCCGCAAAATCATTGCAAATGAGATGATGCCTTAACGTTCTTTGATGCTAGCAGATCAGGCAACTTTCTTTCCTGCCTGCAGGTCAGAGTCGCTGCTAAATCAAAGTGATCAGGCATTTTGTCAATTTTATCAACAAGCCACCAAGAAAGAAAGACCTCCAGGTGATGTTTGGTGACCTGCCAAATTGGCTGTTTTAACCAGAATTTGGCTGGTGGCTAGAGTAAATCAAGTTTATTTATGTAATCCAATATCGCATCCAGTGTGTAAATGGGCATCACAGGCACACAACCGACCATGATTCCACACTCAACTCAAGATGTGTAAGAGGACAAGGTAAAAGTGTTTCTGTGAGGCTGTAGTTCGGCAGAGTGGTGCTTTGAGCTAAATGCTAACGTCAGAGTGACAACGCTAACATGTTGATGATTAGCAGATCAAATGTTGACCATGTTCACTATTTCAGTTTAGCATGTTAGTGCCCTAACATTTGATAATGGCGACTAACCGCAAATTCCAAATGATGCGAATGTCATAAGTTTTGCAGGAATTTGGTCATAACCTGTTGGACAAATTAAAATTTCAGCCTAATGATGGCACTAGAAGGATAGTTCAGGGATTAGCAAAGTGGTTACGGTTCATCCTGTGAGGTACTTGAGCGTCTGCACCAAATTTCATGGCAATCTATTCAGTAGCTGTTGAAACATTCCACTCAAAAAAAGACTGGAAAGAATGGACAGAAAGTGTAAGAAAAGATATTCAAAATACAATAGTGAGATCATTATAGGTCAACTAGTTTCTTTACTCATACTTGTAGATCAAGCATCCTGATCTTTGATCTAGAAATGGTTGAGGTTTTTGATTTAACAACTTGATTTATTTCATCATCTCCTGATCTTTGCCCCCGCATGGTCAAACATACTTTGTAATTGGTAGTTTCCATTAGCCGAATATTAACACTCATGTGTATACACCCTTGCATACAATGGGCGAAGTTGAGGAATTATTAGAAATTTGATATATCTAAGCATATATCTCTTTACAAGGAGAGGCTGAAAGAGAGCGTCTGTTTCCTCCAGCGCCATCGAAGGGCCTCACCCTCGGCTGGAGGCCTGACAGCTCGCAATAGATGAACCGAGCCAAGTGCCCGCTGATCAGACAGCATGATTACACCATACATCACAGGCTCCCAACCACAGGCCTTTATACTGCCTAAATGAACCAGCATAGTGGACAACTGCACATGCACACACACACACACACACACACACAGATCCATATCTTTGTGTTCGCACCCATAGCCCTTTTCTTCTTCACACACAGGTTGAATTCCCAAGCTTATAGAAGTAGCTTGGCACATTTATGTATTTTCCAAAGTTTCTGAAATAGGATTCTTGTTACCAGACAATTATATTCTTACCCCTAAAAAGTACCCCTCCTTTGTTTTTTTTTCACCCCCTCTCTTTCTTTCGCTCTCCCCTTAATGTTGAAGTCTGGAGAATTTATTAGAGATTAACTTGTCAGAGACAGCTTTTTCCACGGCTCACTTTACTACATTCATCATTCATACACACAACAGATAGCATTCCACAATTTATCACCATGGGCCCATCTCCTCATCAGTGGGTGTGTGTTCACATGCATGTGTGTGTCTATGTACTATAAGTAACATCACCTGATTGTTCATACCTCGGTGTGCACATGTTCACACCAGCGTGTGTTTGTTTATGGTATGATGGGTCTGTGTCTTTACGGGCAGACTTCCATGTGTCAGGCTGGCTGGAGCACACACACACCCACACTTTTCCGCATATGATCATAACTCATTCGGAGAAACGCACACACCTTGCTCTGGAAGCTTTCAGTCACAGATCATATACGTCTGTGCATGCGTGTGTGTACACACAAGGTCTGCGTGTATGGCCAACAAACTGTAGCTGAGATAAGATTAAACTTTTCTCATGTGAGGAGAGTTAAAATGCACAAAGTGAAATACACACTCTAGCACAGGAAACAGATTTTCCCCTGATTAAAAGAAAGTAATAACTTACTTAAAACCCTTCAGCCAACATAAATATTAAGACACAAACCAACACACACATTGTACATAAATTGAACACATACTGACATCAACATGTTTTCACCACAGGTTTCTTTATAATGTCAGCTGCTATTACAGTGTTCATTTTGTGTCTCTAACAAATTCCACTCAGAAAATCTCGAAATAGCCCTTTTTTATTATGCCTGACTTATCTGAGGGGTTTAAGTGTGATGCTAGAAGCTCTGTTATTTTCAAAGCCACATTCTTCCATACCTGCTAGCTTACTTTTTCATTTGCTCTCTGAAATGTAAAGCCATACTGAATCAGTAATGTCCTCTCTCATTCTTTGTCTCTCTGCGTCAGTCAGATATTTCTTTCCTTCGTCCTGTTCCCATAGTTATTTGTGCCATTTATTAAGATGCCTGCAGCTGTCCTTAGCATAAGTAGGCCATGCAAACGCATACGCACATAAAGGGACATATACACATGCAAATACACACACGTGCTCAGAGTGAGAGCCAGTGAGAAGTAGGGCAGATAAGCAGGCAGTATTACCAAAAGCCCTTGGATCTCAGGAGCAGACTGTCCCAGAGGAGCATCATGTCATAACAGCCCTAATTGCACAGCATTTAGGAATGCCTGCAGAGTTAACCTCTCAATGATGAGGGGTCGCCAGTGATGTCACCACTACCTCCTTGGATGCCCCCTCACAATCTCACATACACACCCTTGCATTCATTTCCCCCCATTGCCATCTCTGTATGGTGTGGGGTAATTGTCCACAAATGCTCTGGTGGCAATTAGACATGCAAGATTTACTCTCAAGCCAACCACTTCCAAAAACACAAGACTGTATCCCACTGAAAACTTCACTGCTCTTGTCATTTGTGCACTGACTGATGTTTTCCTGTATTTACTTTTGGGCTAACTAAATTTGTCGACCTTTGCCCTCTTTTCCAGGTGCAGTACAGTGATGCGCAGAGTGGTAAGGATTTTGTAACCTATTTGACCCTCTCCCCTGTGCAAATGACTTTCCACGGCACCGGGAGCACCCTCCAAGCCAGCCATGACCAGGTATGTGTGAGTATGTGTATTCAAGTGACAGGGGGGTTGAATCCACTGTGCTAGTAGAAGGAGTGCACCAAAGTCAAATATTGTAGATCAAAGTGTGCCAGAAAGTGAATGAAAATGAATCTGAAAATCACATGATACATCAGTAATCTGATTGGCTCTCGCGTGAACCTGGTAGCAAACAGTTCGTACAGTTTCAGGGTTATGCGTTCCAAAATGCACACAACTTTTCACTCAATTGAAATGCAACTCAGCTGCTGCAAAACAACCTGCAACGAGATGCATGAAAATGTTTCCACATAACAACAACCTTTGCAAGTAATATTGTCACAGTAAAGACAGTTGTATTGTATATCAAATCATGTGAGGAATACAGTGCCAGAAAATGGTGAGAAAATAAGGATCCTTTCTGGCAAATGAAAGTATTATTTCACTAAAGCCCAACCAAAACTGGATTTTTTTTTTTTTTTTTTTACAAAGCCAATACTTGAGAATGATACAAATCTGATCTGGCTGATATTCTGTTTTTTCCGTTACATAAACATTTTGTAATTTTATTGTAAAAATCCGGGTAAAGCTATTTTGCAGTTGAATATAAAACTTTATCATCATAGATGGCAGCAACAAGTTGATCATACATTTTGAACCATTAACATTAATGGATGTTAAATTATTTTGACTAATGACTGTAAATAAAAACTCTATTGAGAAAAATAAATGTCAAATATGCATCAAAATTCTGCCAACAAAAATTTTTATTGCTGTAGTTTACTGCTCTGCAATTTGTTTTTGCCAACATACTGTAAACACTGATGGCCAATAATGGCTGCTAATATCAGCCAGGCTCTGCTCTTTAGGATCGGCTTATACTGGTTTAGTGAAGTGTAGTATATAGTGTAGTATATAGGTCATACTGTGAGGAGGGAGCAGTCCTCTATCCTCCTCTCTCCTCTAATTAACAGAGAAGACTTGGCTCTGCGGTTTTATTATGAATCACCAGAGCATCAGAACCACCTGTGATAATAATCGCTCATTGCATTCTCTCTGACAAGCCTCTGTTCCTCCCACACACAGGCGCCAGTTCACTGTGATTTTCAATCTATCAAAGTAATACCCATCCTGAAATCTGACGGAGTATCTCAACAACTTGTGGCGTAACCCTCATTCTCTCTCCCTCCCTCTCTCTGGTTTTCTCACTCACTCTCTCTCGCGTACACCCCATATTCAGAAGGAGGCTCTTTGTCTTGTGTTGCCCAAGCAGAAAACCAGTTGCTTACATTCTATCATCTAAACATAGGACGCCCCTTTGTTCAGCAGTCTTCAAAGCTTTAATAAAGGACCGGCCCGGCCCTGAATGGGACAGCTGACAGGGGGCTAGTGCCGCCACCGCTAACTGAGAGCCAAGCCAATATAGGCCAGGCAGGTCTGCGTCCTCGGGACCTGTTGTTGCCAGGAGCACTGGGGCATGACCGACTGTTAGAGAAGGCCTTTCTTTTCCTCATCTCAGTACAGTGAGGAGTACGACCACAAAGGGAGCACCTAACAATAAGGGGTCGCCCTCAGCAGCCCCCAAACCCCGACACTTGTTGAACAAAGTGGGCCTGAAGGCGTCACACATTTGGTCAGCTTTACCCAGATGATGATGCACGCTGCTGTGAGTATTTGTTGACTTACTAATAAGGGCCTCAGAGTTACCTGAAATCTGTAGAATAGATTACCTCATGTGCTGCTGGACCTCAGGAATTCCCGTTGCACACAATCAGATCGATCCACGAGCTGCCAATTAATAGTTCAGGGGAGATCCACGTGTTTCCTATGCCACATGTTGGCCTCGGCACCAATACACACAAACACACACCTTGCCCTTTTATCTGTGTAATTAGACATTATAAATCTCATGAGATGGAACAGGGGATCTCTCAGCTAAAAAGTGATAAACCTTTCCTGGAGCCATTCTCTGTTGCTGTGCACACACACAGCTAACACAGTAACATGTGGTGACTCCAGTCTGTTTCATTATACATCTCTCTGGGAATTTCCTGCTCTGTTATCTGCGCTCTCATGGAGGTTTATGTCAGGTAGACCGGAGCAACTGATATAGATCAACAGCCAAAGGAAATCCTCTCCACAAATCTCTGCCCATGATGTATGGAGGAAAGATGTGTAGGATATGGACAGCAGTTACGGATAATTGGCTGAGGAAACAGTTGGCCTCTTCATGCAAAATGACACTTGATGAAAAGGGAGCAAGATCTTGATTAATTTAATATGTGTCAGTATTTCCAGTTTTTTTGCTCTTCATTGTTTACAAACGCAAAATCCAATAGAAATTTGTGTCACTCGTGTATCCATTGAAGCCTATTGTTTCCAAAATGTGTTTCAAATTATTCAAATAATTCCATCGTGTATTCTTGCATTTTGAGCTTTATTTAGCAACTTTAGCAAGTCTTGACCACAAGTAAGAGTGGATAGCCATGGGTCCGATGTCAGGGCCTGCTATGGAAGTGTCAATAAGTCAGAAGTGTTTGAGTATTTGTGTTTGTGTAAACATTTGTTATTATGTTGTCACAAAACAGAGATTGCAGCTTTTGATTATGAACCTTAATTAGACCCTGTCAAATGGCAGTAAAACAATGACTTGAAGAAAAAACACACATGGCCCCAAAACACTTTTTACTGTCTTTACAATATCAAAGGTAATCTATAATCGGTTAAACAACTAAGTGTCGAACAGTAGCAATAGAAATTGTAATAACAATTGTAAAAAGGTTTACTGTAAATAATGATTAACGAGACAGTCTCCAGTTTGTGTCCAAAACCATGTTGTTTTGGTTTAAAACACGTGTCTCTTTTTCTGCCGTATCTGCTGTAGGATTGGGTTGCACCAGATATTCATAAATTTTACTACTTTTTAGTCAAATTTAATTTCCTATTTCTGCATTTCTTAGTTTGTGTGTAAAGACCTTCCTAATTTAAAACCAATAAGTTACTAAAATGGGTTGCACCATTAAAACTTAATGGTCCATAAATAAATTAATGTCTTCGTGAAAACATTAGTCGTGTGAAATTGGTTACTCGAAAACACATGTAGCAATCAAGGCAATTTACTATGTAAACAGAAAGTCAGCGTAGCATCACAAGCTGTAACTTAATTGCCAGAAATAACAGTTGTAGGGAACAGTTCTTTGTAAATTATGCATCTTTTTTATTTATTTATATAAGCATATATGGAGAACTGAGTATTTCAGAGTTTAGAACATGTTTGAAAATATGTGATTATGCTAACCTAGCTAACTCTAGTTATTTATTCTGATGCTAACAGCATAATGTTTGGTATTATGGAGGTGTATTATGTCATTTTTGTTATTTACATCATTATTAAATAGCATTTTGATCAAGTGTCAGATATTTCAACCATAATTAATATTACCTAATTTAAATAAATCATATCTTATCTTACCAAGCTAAGCTAAGTGAGTTTTGTCACTTGGTTCAATTTGCTACACACCAGTTCCACCTGGAAGTTCTGCATGTGTAAATATTTAGATACAAGTTATCCCTACACAAGAAGTCATTTGTGTGGTGCAAACTATTTTAATTGAATTATGTGTAAATTTCTACTTAGTGAACACTTAACGTCATAGCTGGACGAAGTTTAAACTTAGGAATAGCTGGAGCAACCCGCTCCTGGTACACCAGGTCATGTTCCCAGTTAAGGTTTTCTGTCGTGCGCTGTTTTGTGTACATTTTTTTTTTTGAATCACATTCTCAGTGTCTTTGGACACAAGTGGAAGAGTATATCTGTAACTCACTGGATTGTATGGGAATAGTTAGTAATAGAGAATTAATTACCTGTAAAAGGTACAAAGTTGGTGATGTGAGAGTAAATCATTTGTGTAGCCTTCTGTTGAACAGTAAACAATAATGATCGAGAGCAGAGGTGTTGTCAGTATAATTTTACAATGGTCTGCTCTTTATCAACAAGTGCAAACACACACAGAAGCACCTACACATAAACACACACCACAGTGCTTAGGTGCCATAATCCTTGGCCTTGTGCAGACATTCCTGGAGGGCCTGTATGTGTGAGAGATATACAGCTGAGTGCTCTTTTTGACCTTATGTGCCATCTATTCGGTGCCATCTGCCGAACACATGTGAGCCCGTAGGCTGCTGCATTGGCTGAAAAGTCGCCTGGAGCCAAAGATGTTTGTCAACATATCCTCCATTTTAGTTCTAAATTATTTTTGTTAATAGTTTCAGCCTTGGGTTACACTATGTTTAGTTAATATTTTAAAGGAAAGAGATGAGAAGGGAAAAACTACACCGTCAAGCAGCTTTTTTTTCACTGAACAGAAGCACTGTAAAACAATGTTTAACCCTGGTGTGTGTGTGTGTGTATATGTAAAGCCAGTCTCATGTTCTCAGCTCCCATATTCAGCTGCAGGTTTATTTTTAGGTGACCTCTTGTTGGAAGTGCACTCAAGCTTACAACCATGAGTTACTCCGTGACCACAAACTTCCAGCCTTGCTGTCTGCTCAAACACTCTCAAGGCTGTATCAGTTTTGCTCGGTTAAATCCGCACTCACTCAATTGATATCTGTCTGTTAAGAGGCCAAATTATAGACCATGGCACTGGGATATATTTAGACTTTTTTTTTTCCTACATGCTTTTTAGACAGGCTGATTTCTGTGTTTGTTCTGCAGAGCTGAAGTAACTCTCTGGCAGTCCCTCTGTGGCGGCAGTGGGACACCAGGGGGGCCGAGGCCCACTGAGCTGTGTGTGAGGTGTTGCTGGTCCAACATGAGCGGCCCGCAATCGAAGATGACAGGGTGACTGTTGTCTGCCACCAGACTCTGTGTGTATTTGTGTGTGTGGGGTTGCTTTGCGTGCAGTAATGTCCTCAGCTGAGCCACCCTGGGTCCCAGGGGCCCTGTCTCTCAGATTGTCAGCTGTGGCTGCATGGGTTTCCTGCAGCAAGAGCACATTTTGGCTGATTTG